GTGCAATCGATTAATAATCGATTACAATAAGTTTTGCCCTGTAATTGATTACTTTAGACAATGTAATCGATTAATAATCGATTTCTTTGGGGAATTTTGTGTAATCGATGAAAATTGATTACAGTAAGTTTTGTCCTGTAATCGATTGTAATGGAAGTGTTTTAATTTTTCATGCCCTCACATTTAAAAAAAAGATACATATGACATCGTTGTAATATACCAAACACGTATTCGAATTTTTGGAGGGGGATAGAAAGAGAGGTGTCAACAATGACGCCGATCGATAGCCCTGCCTTCTATTAATATTGATTATTTGACCTGAACAAGAGGCCCATGGGCCACATCGCTCACCTGAGCACTAAGGGTAGGAAAAAGTAGAAAATGGCTTTTTATTGTAAAAATTTAAATCCAAAAGTAGTCCCATAACCAATCATGATTTTTAAAGAATTTTCCTATATATATCTTTAAAAACTTTGGACGGCCATTTCGGCCCCGCCCTACCCCCGGGGGTCCTGATTTGAACAAATTTAAATCTACACTACTTGAGCATGCTTCTATATAAATATGATGAATTATGGCTCTGACATTCTTGGGAAGAAGATTTTTCAAGAATTTTCCTATATATTTCTATGTAAAACTTTGGTCGGCCATTTTGGCCCCGCCCAAATAGATATGTAGTACCTATAGTAACAGATTTGATAACTTTGCTTATGAACAATTGAAAGGAATAAATCATAAAGAAAATCATTGAAATCCAATTTTGTAAATCTATCAGTGACTTGGACATAAGTATGATGCTGTCACTGACTTTTAATTTAGTGCACATCAAATGTGTTGAAAAAGTTTAATGCTCATTGAACTCTTTTACCTAGACTTAATGCTACATGTACATGTATGCAAATATGACTGTATATATAGATGTTTTTTTTTTATTATTATTAACATTTTGGTATAAATATTTTTAAATTCCATTTTCTTTTACTTAAAAATCATTGAATTGCTGCACAAGTAAATTCCGGAAATGAAAAAAAATTATGTCGGAAATGAAAACAAAAAATGTCTGAAATGAAATTAAAAAATGTCGGAAATGCTATGCATATTTCTGGAAATGAAATGCAGCGCTTAAGTCGGCCATTTTGGCCCCGCTCTACCACCGGGGGTAATGATTTCAACAAACTTGAATCTACACTACCTGAGGATGTTTCCCCATAAGTTTCAACTTTCCTGGCACAGTGTTTCTTGAGAAGAATATTTTTAAAATATGCCACAAAATTTTCATTAATTGCGAATCATCTCCCCTTGAATGAAGACGTGGCCCTTCATTTGAAATAATTTGAATTCCCGTCACCCAAGGATACTTTGTGGTAAGTTTGGTTGAAATTGGCCCAGCGGTTTTTGAGAAGAAGTCGAAAATGTGAAAAGTTTACAGACAGATGGACAGACGGACGGCTGGACAGACGGACGGACAGACGGACGCCGAACAAAATGTGATCAGAAAAACTTACTTGAGCTTTCAGCTCAGGTGAGCTAAAAAGCTCTCCGGGTCCATGTCAAATTCCGGAAAACGACACTTATGTATCGTTGCATCAATTTTCATTCATGGCAACGGGGCATTGTTTTTGTACAAATCCTTCCCCTAATATAACCAAGCATACGTAGCTCTTTCTATTGCTTGTAATATATTTTGAATTCACTTCATTTATAACTTGGTAAATGAGTCGTAAAAGATCTAAAGTTATTTAACAAAAGGTCATTAGAAATTTATTCTTCTTTTCAATCAGTTATAACTTGAAAACAAAAAAAAAAACAGAAGAGAAAGAAAAAGGGGTTGAATTGATTTTCAATGTATTGTATGGTGTACCTGTGAAACTGACGAAAGCATCTATTAAACAAAATACCTTCAAATTCATGCGTTAATTAGGTTTTAAATTATATTTGCTTTTCTTTAAGTTTTGCTTATTCCTAGTTTAAACGTTTGCCAAGCACGTGAATTATGATATCGTATCTTTAAATTAGATGTAACCGTTTGTACACGTTATGTATTTAGATTTCATTTATAGTATTTACACAATAAAAGTTCGTATTTAATATTTACCGACAAAGAATAATTATTCTCCCGGTCAATAAAAAATTATTTATTTTACCCCCCCCCCTAGACCTGAGGTGAATTACTTTGAAATGTAATGCATTACATTACAATTACTTTAGAATTATTATCATTACAATTACAATTACCATTACTAACATTCAGATAAGTTATTAATTAAATTACAATTACTTTGCTAAAGTAATGAGTTACTTTACACATTACATTTTATAAGAGGAAAACACAAAACGTATGACCACACAATTTAAACTTATAAATTTACTTTCACACTTTGTGCTCTGAGTTAATATGCTGTCCCCCAGATCTTTAACCAGAGTGGTATTTGGATTTTAGATTCATATATCATGTTCATAGAGTTTACCAATGATGAATCCAATCTACGGTTGACAAAGAAAATGGATCAGAACACTCTTAATGTTGTACATGTAGTTTTGTTCAATATCTGCTGTTATTTTCTCTGTTGTTGTTGCTTTTTTTAAATAAATGATTTATTGAACCTTTCCTACTACATGTTTTAGGTAAAAAATATTTAATTAATAACGGATAATGCTAAAATGTATAATGAGTATTAAAAACTCAATGATTTTATAATTAGCACTTCTAATTAGCTTTACAGGTATAAAAAAAAATGAAGCTATAAATTAAACACAACCAAAGTGATAATTACAAGTACCTGGATTTAGGGTTTTAATTTTGAGGCCATAATAAATCATACTTATCTTGTATCATGTGTACCAAGTCCATTTTACCATATCGAGAAGGGGAAAAAAGTAGAAAAATATAATTTGTATCTTAAAACTGGAAGTCTCACTATACATGTATTAATGTCACCTTTTTGTATCTTTCTTTAAAACCTGATGATTTCTTTTAATAATTTTCTTTGGTTCTCTTAAATTGATTTTTCATTGCCTTGTCAAGAAGATTTCTATTAAAAGAATTATTTAGTTTGTCTATCAATTACCATTTAATAATATAGAAAAAATTGAAGGATATAAGATTTTAATTCTAGGACTCTAACATTATTAACAAAAAATACCTCTCAGTGTTTTTTTTTTTTCAGTTTCAAAAATAAAAAGAGACTTATATACAAAATGTAATTGAAAAGTAATTGGTCATTACTGACATTTTTCTTTTTATTAAATGATAAGGAATTTTGGTGCTCTCTGATTGGTTTAGACGCCATTTGCTGGTGTGTACCTCAGAGTGAGTTCACCTCAAATGACGTTCAGGGAGGTTTATTCGGGTTTTCCCTCTCGACCAACCATAGATTTGCTTACAGCTTTTTCGACCAATCAGATTGCGTGTTTCAAAGCATGTATCGGTGTGAATGTAAACATGTCAGACGCCATTACCAAGGAGATTAAGAACCTTTGAAAGTAAATGGTTGATTATTTATTGTTTATTAATATCATTTTTAACTTTTTAACTAATATTTGTTTAGCTGTATCAACATGTAAAAAGTGTAATTACACTTTACATTATGGATATTTATATTTGATGGAGATAAGAATGAAAGAGTCAGTAGTGTTGTAAAATTCCTCATCATTTAATAAAACGGCTATTGACTTTTGAATTCGGTCTTCTCGTAACTATACAGACCTGGTCAGGTATTGGTTAACCTCGGCCTCGGTCAACCAATACCTGACCAGGTCTGTATAGTCACGAGTAGACCTCATCAAAAGTCAATAATTGTATAAAGTAATGCATTATATTACATTACAATTACTTGTAATTGAAAGATAGATCCATTACACATTTCACCCCATTACTTTGAAAAAATGTAATGATTACAATGCATTACCATTACCCTCGGTCTGCCCCCCCCCACCCGCACCCCCCCCCCCCCACCCCTTCTTCACACACACATTAAAAAATGTTTTTAAATATTTAAATATAAATAAATACAGGAAAGACCAGTGACTAGATTTTAAAAATAAAGCCTGATGATTTTTTCTTAAATTTTTTTGAGTCGTCCTCCCAATCCTGTACTCGAATTGTTTTCTTTAAGACTGCTGCACTTTTTTTTTAAATAATGTACATACATATTGATTTTTTCATGCCCAATTAAGAAGATCAATAACTTTAAGGGAATTTCGAATGATTTAAAGAAAAAAGTAAATTGAGAAAATGAAATAAAATAATTGAATAATGGGCACGTAAATATGCTTGTACTGTTAATATCTTAAGATGTCATTATTGCCCTCTTATTTTCTTTACTTCGTTTACATCGTCGACATTGCACTGTTGGTCGATATCAGGTAATATCTTGTCAACATTGCCCTTCTTATCTTTCTTGTTTACATCCTTCATATCGTCGACATTGCAGTGTTGGTCGATATCGAGGTAATATCGTGTCAACAATATTATAATTTTAATATTTCTTGTTTACATTGCAATGTGGACGTGTACGATATCGACATGTAAAAACAATTCCAATGTAGACGATGTAAACGCGATATTGTTAAACTTTCAACATTGTTTACATTGCCATGTCGATTTACAATGAAGAAACAATCACAATCTAGACGATGTAAACGCATTTGTCGTTTCAACATTGATAAAATTGCGATGTCGACGATGTCGACATAAAATGTAGAAAAAAATACAATGTAGACTATGTAAACGCGACATCGCATCACCATTTAGTTTGTTTCAATTTGTTTCAATTTTTCAATTGTTTCAATTATTTCTTCAATAAAAATGGAACTCGTAAATTTACTTACTTGGTCATTGTTCATTTGCAAATTATATTGTTAAAACAGATTCTGATTGAACACAAATGTACTCTCAAGTTGACATCAGCTTGAATTTCTTATTGGGCATTCTTATCTTGATGTAAACGAACGACACACGTTATTCTATTTTGCAGAGTAAACAAGAAATAAAGTTATACCTGTTATCTCAGTTGACTGTTTGAGGACTTTGGAATAAATTTCGCAAATGTTTCGTATGTAATCTTTGTGCTGTGTATTAGGTATCGGTGGTGGTTCTTCTCGCTTTCCCTGGAATACCAGAAAATATGTTTGTATATTTTAATGTTAATTCCAGCACGTAAAAGAAAGGAGAAATTATCTCATACGAGAAAGGAAAAAAAAAAGAAAATGAAGAAAATGAGCAAATTCAATGAGTGTTGACATTTTGAAATTAATCACATGAAATGATTTAAACTTCTCCTTACATCAAACCAGAATGCTCTTATTTCAGACACATCACTTATTCGTCTAGAGCAACCTTGACAGTAGTTATTTTGGACTGAAACAAAGTGGTGTACTAATTCCTCTTGATATCCATTTTTTTTGCAGCATAGAAATCCTACTTCATATTCAAGGGCATCGGAGTAAAAATTACAAATAATTTTGTAAATCATTCTATTGAGTTCTCGCCTTAAAGTTGGGCCATTTTCCCCTGTATTGTCTCCAATAAATTGTACCGTTATGAATTCTCTATAATGAAAGATGTAAATCTGCTCTTTTGAATTGTTTGAATGAGTAAAACACATATCTGCTCCATTTTTGAAAAAACGATGATTGTACGGTTTTAATAATTCAGAGTTCACACAAAGAACTATCATTCTTCCAAATAAATCATGTGGCAGATATTCTCTAAATTTGAAGCAAAGAATACTTGATGAACCCTCGCTTCCAAACGCAGTGACATTGGGTGAAAATCCCTGTGAGTTGATACACGGAATATACCAACCATCTATAGGCCCCATCGATTCATCAACTGGAAACTTCTCAATGTGCAACATCATTCCAAGCTTTTCTTGATATTTGCCAATGACATCAAGGTGTTTGGAAGAAATTTTATTAGTGTTTTTGTTCAATAAAAAGTGGTAAAGGTCATGATGCAAAATGCCCTTTTCTTGAAAAGTATTCCACAAATGACACATTTTCCCATTTATTGTCTCATCTTCTAAATCTTTAAAATCTTCTATCACGTGTTCACGATCAGATATGATGTGTTTGAAGCAATTGACAAACCACTGAATATCTAAGATCACGAAATCCTTTAATTTGTCAACATTGAAGAACATTATTTTCCCACAATTATGGAAAAAATGAAGCATGTCATTGATTTCATCATCATCCATTTCAAGGTCTGAATGATCAGTTATTCCCAATAGTTTTTCAATTTCCACAAGTGGATTTGATAATGTTATTATCTCAAATATATGCAGACACATAATCCATTTCGCCGGTCGTTTTTATCTTTCACATGATTTTACATCTATGATTTTACAGATGTGGTCCTTGATTTTTTGTAAATCACTCTCAATGTTTGTCTCATCAAGAAGATCTGTTGTGATTGGACTATAGTATTCATCGGCCAGGAGCTTTTTCTTAACAGCTTCATTAAGAACCTTGTAAAAGTCGGAATCAGAACTGAAAATAACCAATTTGAAATCCTGATACAATTAACCAGTGCAATAGTTTTAGTATTACAAAAAGAGCCAGCTCCTCTTTTAGTAGCTTAAAAAACAATATGCATAAAAAAGCGCAGACCTTCCTTCTTGTTTCCCCCATGGTAATTGATAATAATACCTCGATTATACATACTAAACTACGATACTACTGCATTTTATCAAGGCCGAGTCTAGTTCCAGTGCGCATGACTTTGCACAGCTTTTTAATTTTATGCAGTCATTCGTGCGACAAATAAACCTTTGCCAAATATTTTAATACAAAATTAACATTATCTGTGGCCCCTACTGGTCTGAAAGTGGGATTTTACAACAATATTAAGGAAAAAAGTTGCATGTGTTTCGACGGAACCGAAATTTATTTAGAGAATGTGGATTCGTTTACATTTCCACAATGACCTGCCTACTTTGACTGATTGTGCATTCATAGCAAAATTATTTAATTTGGGATTAGCCTATAGTTTTCTTATTTAAATAAAGGGGTTATTGAAAGATGTAACCCATATCGGCTTAGACTTGATATCTGTTCTGGACTTATACGGAAGAAATTTATCATTAGAAAATAGATCTGATGGCACACCTGTAACATATAGATCTGTAGTATGTAGATTTTTAAATTTTCCACCCCCTCCCCCTTCCTCATACGAAAAACCGTTTCTACAGGCATCTATCAAGCTATTATTTTGGATTAATGTGTATCAAATTATTTTGCAAGTCTTGATGCACAAAAGTATTGCCGATTTGAAAATCTAGAACTAGTTGTAAGAAGTTTTCAAATCAAGTTATTAAGTTATCTAAGAGTATATACTGCACGCTCTTCCTTCTTTGTACCATAGAATCAATGTTTAGTTTGTATTTAAGAGTATGCATGCATGAGGAATTCGGATCCGCCATTAAATATATAAATACTACAAATTATGCAAAGTTAAAAGCAAGATTCGCCAATGAAATGGCATATTCTAATTCGACTAGGGCGAATTATTCTAGGTGCAAGTTGTCTTATGAGCAAACTCTCTACCATTCTCGCGCATACGTATCCTGACTTTTGCCCAGGGCACCCGGTTTAACCTCGCTTATATATTTACTGCGTGAACCCTGAAATGACTCTAACGACGTCCCCATTTTCCAATATTATAAGCAATTCATGGCCCTGAAGAATGTCGCATGACTCGCTTTTATGTTAAAAACGTCCATGGATACATGTATTATACTAAACCTGATGACAGAAAATCCAACGAAACGTATTGGCAATCTGAATGTTGCTATTTCTTTACCGACAAAAAATCATATGCACCGATACTACATCTGCACTGATATGTATTTATACCGTGTAATATGACAATTTTAGACGTATTTGACTTTGAAGAAATAAACGTAAATAACGCCTAGACTAAACTAGATGGTGAACTTTTTTGAAAGTTCACAGTTTGGTGAATTTTTACAATAACTCTCATGTACTTGAATGAAAAAGAAATCTCTAGTGCAAAACTTTTAAAAAGTATGGAAAGATGTGATAATATGGCGCTTTCTAGCCAATTTTTACAGGGTCCAATAGTAAATTTGACAACTTTAGAGATGGTTCCCTAAGAAAAAATCGGCATGCTAAACATTCGATTTTTAAAAATGTTAAAACAATAAATATAATAGTAAAAATCAAGTGTCAAAAAATATTAAAATCACTTGGGAAGAATTAATGAGATTCGGCTCATAAAAGTATGATAATTTTAAAAGAAACATTATCGAACGTTATACATATGGGCGGCGTAAAGGGTAAAAATGTTATTATTGTAAATAATGACATTTATGTGACATGTTCGTCTATATTTCTGTATATTAAGTTATTGTTTAACAATGTATTTTTTATAAATAGATTTTAACCATGCGTCAACCGGTTTGTACTAATATAACTTGGTTAAACCATTTTTTTTAACCAATCACAAGACCGCTTGGTAGTCACGTGCTCATTGTTTATCATTTTACCAGAAGAGAATGTCACATTTGCTCTGCTCAATTTTTTGAACACCATCAATCCCTGTCTTCCACCGCTGTATTTTATTTTCTTTTGTATACATGTACCGACCTTTTTAGATAGCAGGCAGCAATTTAGCACATTTTCATGTATGTTTAGAATTCTTCATGTTTAGTAGGGGTCATCTGAAGATATATACAGTGGACCCTCATTTATCCGGACGCTTTGGTTCCCAGTCGATTTGTCCGGATAAGTGAAGCATCCGAATATCTGAATCACCAGTTAAACAAGACAAAATAGCATATAAAAATTTCGTTCCGATGAAAAATCGTCCGGATACTGAAGCATCCGGATATCTGAAGGTCCACTGTATATATATATATTCTATTAATGGCAATGCTTTTTCCATGTTTTGAATTTCAATTAGTCTACTGGTTGATCCCCTTTTTTTAATGTATAGTATTTACTATGACATTATGGTGCAGGGGTAAGATTGTGTAACACTTTGATTAAGATATATAATATTATATTTTCAAGTCCCCTTTCCTGACCCCCTTTCTTGTATTGTAAATTTGTTTTACTACTTTTACGTCATTTACGTCATTAAATGACATTTTTTTTACTTCAACAATATTGTTTGTTTTTTGCTTGCTTAAACAAAAGCGTCTTTTCGGGAAAAGTTATAATAAGAAGCCAAAACAAAAATACGTGCATATAGTGACAATTTTGTAATCACAATTAGCAGTGCCAAATATATACGGGATTTTACCCTTTTATTGACAGAAACTTTCTGCTCTAACTTGGTCCGCAGGGTTGGTTACTTTGCGTCGATTGTACTTTTACGTGTGCACTTACGCGTCGTATGCGTCATGTTTTAGTATTATCACACTGGGTTTTGAGGACACTTTCTTCAAACATTCAGGTGTACCGAACCAGCTGGATTCTGTACATTCTATCCTAAATCGGAATAGGCGAATCCGTGAGAATCATTGAGAGATTTGTTAGCTTTAGAATGGTAGAGATTCTCCTTACCATTAGGACTACTATCAGAAGGGTGGAATAATAATCCTATGAGAAAGATAAATGATCTGATGAATTTATTGCACAGGAGAATCAAGGCTGTTACTGATGTGCAAGGTATACTAGATGATGAGATTTTTTTCATTTCAATAAGGGTTGGGTGTCTCGACATATCAATTTCAATAACTCATGAATTTTCAGTCAAAGTCTTACAAGATTTTGGTAACTTGTTGATTAAAGATGAATTAAAATGTTTGATAATAAATCTGGAAAACATAATCAAAAGTAGTTTTAATTCAATTTAAAAGTTTACTATGCGTTTCTTTTACCTTTCAGTACAGTTGAAACCGCAAAAAGAAATTTACACTGAAAGGCTACAATGAAGAGACTAATTGTATTCCTGTACAAAGTATAGTGGCATTTTCGCCGTGGTTTGCGTAATGGACCTTGTCACATGTGCATTTTGAGTAACACAGAACCTAGTTTCGCGTTGCGATTTATGCACTCTAAATTGCCACAAAAACTCTCACTTTCAATTTTAACTAGGAGCTACCCCCCCCCCCCCCTTGCCTCTGGGCCCCCCATACCCCTTACTGATTTTCATAATTTCTCCGAAAAATGTATCCCCCAAACCTGGAGTAATCGCTGTCCTAAATTCCATTGCCTTATTTTTATAAAAGGATATTGGTACACATACAGGGTGTCCCAAAACATATGTTACACTTTTAATCACCTATAACTTTATCAAATTAAAAGCATTCATACAGATATTTTGTCAACTTCTAATGTATTAGCATACATTTTATCTGACAAACTTTTGAGAAATTCTGTTCAAAGAGTCAGGTAATTATGATGTCCTAATGACGTCATCATATTTTTGAATATGAAATCTCATGTGAAGAGCTAGTAAAAATTGTAAAACTTCACTATCGGTCTAAAATTGCAACTTTAGTCATTAGTACCATGAGAAAACAACATCCTGTTATGAAAGTCCTCGACAGAATACTAATTTATATGTTTGTGAAGGAGTTTGAAGTTAAAGGCACCATAATCAAATGACACATGACTTAATTCTGGTATTAGAAGACCAAGGAGTGCCCGTATGAAATAGAGAACATTAATAACCATTGATAGCATTATTACTGAAACTTTACAAAAATCTCTTAGACAAGTCACTGTATGAATAAGTTAGCACCTTTGGTAAATCTAGTAATCATTAAATATATAAATTTGATTTTAAAATAGATTCCTCACAAGATACGAGGGACGTTCAATAAATAATGTCATCGGGGCTCGGAAAGAAGCAAAAGACGCTTTTAAATGATTTAGTCTTCATGAT